TCTCCTTGGCCTGCGCATCCCGAATAGTATTTCCACAGGTGAAAACCCCGTTACGGAGTGGATCGAATGGTTGTAAGCTGTTACGGCTTTCTTCATCGCAACATCCGGCTCCAACCCTTTCTCTCCCTGATATACACGGATGTGGTCACTCAACGTGCTGTGCAAGCGTTCGATTCCTCCTCTACTCTTAGGGTGTCCCGGTGTGTTATAATGCCACACAACCTCTAACCTTTTCACCTCCTCCCTAATCGCGGTATTGTCGAATTCTCTGCCACCGTCTGATGTGATCCTCTCGGGAACTCCGTAAAACTGTATCCAGATTTGTAGGGCTTCCGCAACTGCATTGGCAGACTTGTCCATGACCTGATGTGCCATAGCTACTTTACTAAAGGTGTCGATGATCGTGACCCACTTGAACCCTTTCCAGGTGAATGTATCGATCTGGAGGTCTTGTAGCGGCATATTCCCTGTAGGTGTCTCTTCCTGAACTCCTCTGGGGGGGTGTCGATCATACTTTGTGCGCATACATACCTCGCATTTCCCGATGATTCCTTGGATAGATTTTTTCATTCCCCACCAGAAATACTTTCGCCGTAATGCCTGCAACGTCTCGTTGACGCCTTGGTGGTTGGTCTTCCCCTGGTGGTATGCCAATGTAATTGCTTGTTGCTGCTCCTCATCCTGTACGGTTTCCACTGCATACTTGCACCGGATGATCGTTCTATCCATGCCTATCCGCTCGGATCTCCACATCCGCTTTATTTTCTCCCATACCGTGTTGTTCCCAACATAGAGATGGTGTGTCTTTCCCGGTTCCGTGGCGTCCTTCAGTGCCGTACGGATTTGCTCCTCGCTCACCCCGTTTGCGACCAAATGACGCGAATCCTACTTTTCCCGTATCTTCGGTAATCTATTTTCATGATCCCTGTTGTCCTGGTTTTCCAGATTACCTGTCTATGCTTGTCGTTGATGATTTCGTCTATTTCCTCCATCGCCTCTGGTCTTTCCTCCGCTGAGCTATCTTCTTCCGGGGACCCCTCCCTGTCCTCTATACTGACGGTATCATCTGCCCCTTCACCCTCAGGAGTCCATTCCCTCAAGAATTGGCGCACGTCCCGCGATGGACCTCCTCCGTCCTCTTCTACCGCGTTGATCATGATGGCCCTAGAGAGCCAGTCTGCCACCACGTTTTCCTTTCCCGGCTTATACACCACCTCCATGTTGTACTGACTAAGGAATTCTTTCCATCTCGTGACCCTCGCAGAGGTTTCCTTAAGTTTTCCTACCCACTGAAGGGGTTTGTGATCGGTGTGGACTCGAAACTTCCTCCCAAATATATATGGCCTGAAATGGTCGATGGCCCACACTATCGCGAGTAGCTCCCTCTCTAACGCGCTGTACCGTGATTCCGCGCTCGTAAGTCGTCGGCTCGCGTATGCTATCGGACGTTCACCCTCACTTCTGCCCTGGGATAAAACGGCCCCCAACGCGTATTCGCTCGCATCGGTGGTGACGTTGAACTGCTTCTCAAAATCCGGGAACGCCAATACGGGTTCTGCCTGCAACCTATCCATGCATTTCCGAATATTATTTTCCATTTCCGGTGTCACCACGATCCTCGCGCCTTTCTTCAGCAAGTTATTGATAGGTACCAAGTATTCTGCCATCTCAGGTACGAATCTCCTATAATAATTCAGCGTCCCGAGAAGCCTACGAATCCCTTTTACGTCCCGTGGCACCGCCATTCGTGTGATAGCCTCCACCTTTGCCGCATCCGGTCTGACCCCCTCGCTAGAAATAGTGTGGCCTAAAAAATTGATCCGCGTTTGTCCCAACAGGGACTTCTCACTTGACAGTTTCAGCCCGAATTGTCGCAGCCTTTCGAATACCGACCTCAAATGCCCCACGTGTTCGGCTTCCGTTCTGCTAAAAATCAGCAGGTCGTCCATGTATACTTGACATACGGAGTCGTCGATCCCCCTCAGAAATTCGTCCATCAGGCGTTGAAACGTTATGGGCGCATTCTTCAGACCAAACGGCATTCTGGTGAATTCGTAATGCCCCCTTTCGAATGTAAACGCCGTCTTATGTTGGTCCTTCGGGTGCATCCGTATTTGGTGGTATCCCGCCTTGAGGTCCAACGTGCTAAACACCACGGCCCCACTCAACCTATCAAGTATATCTTCGAATCTAGGGATCGGGTACTTTTCGTCTACCGTGTTGTCGTTCAACCTACGATAGTCCACTACCACTCTGTATTTTTCCTTATTATCCCCCGGCGCTGCCTTCTTTTTCACTGCCCACAGGGGACTATTAAATGGCGAGGTGCTATCGACTATGATCCCTTGCTCCTTTAGGCTTTCCAATTCCTCCCGAATATGCTGCCTCAGCGCCTGCGGGTATCTCCTTTCCTTTACGTAGGTCACCCTATCTTGCTTCAGTGGAACTTCGTGTACCGTCTTCCCTGTTACCCCCAATACCTCGCCCTCCCTGAAGAAAATATCTACGAACTCCGCTTGTAACGCCTTTCTCCAGTCCTCCACCCTGTTCACCGCTCCTATCCGCACCCTTCTTTCTCTCGCGACCCCTATACATCCAAATTTCCTCTTTCCCAGCCTGATACTCCAAGCTCCTCTACGGTTTCTAATGCTTACCCCTACCTGTCCTAACAGATCACACCCTATTATGACTTGGTACTCCCGCGTCATGCTCTCTACCACATGCACCTTTAGCTCCCCCTTTTTCCCTGCCCACCGATCAAGCGTAATTGACGCTTCCCCTTCTACTTTACAGGGACCACCCAGAGTGATTAGCTGGCAGCCACAGTTTTGTATCCGGAGTACCCTCTCGCTCCCGCACACTCTCCCCAACGCCCCCCGAGTCAAGATAGTACTCGAGCTCCCTGTGTCCACGAGACACTTCACTCCCCCGTCTACTTCAATAATCGGCAACCAGCATGGCTTACCTCTAATATTGTTGCAGGTTGCTGTGCGGTCGCCTCTCTGCTGACACCCTTCTCAGATGCCACCTCGCTTCCTCCTTACCGCCGTCGCTCGTCGTTGCTCGCTCCGTTGGCTGCTCCTGCCTCCTTCGCCTCCACTGCTGGCTGGCTCGTCAGTCTCCGTTCCCGACGTCCCCGACTCCTCGGTTGCCTCTTCCGAAGATCCGTCTCTCTGCTGCATCCTAGCTCGTTTTTTCAACTTTTGAGCGTTCACCTCCATTGGCTCGTCTAGAGGTCTCTCTCTCCTGCGAAACATGTACGGGCACTGTCTGGCAATATGCCCTTCAGTCCCGCACTCGAAACATCTAGTGCGCGGACATTGTGCTACCAAATGTCCCGGTTTCCCGCACCCGTGACATTTTCTGTCTTCCCTCCGGGGTCCATTCCTAGGCCTGGACTGTCCGGATCTTCTCTCGCCCGTCGTGGCTTTTTCTCCGTTCGGGTGTTTCATTTCCCTCTTCCTCCACCCTATCTGGGCTGTCCGGGGTCGTCTGTCACTCACTCGGGTCCACCCTGGTTCTTCTACTTCCATCCGCGTCTCTTCCTCTCTTGCACTCAGATCTATCATTTCTTGGGCACACTCGAGGAACGATCGCTCTCTAGGCAGTCCGTCCCTTCTCCCAGTCTCCTTAGCCAACTGAACCTTGAGTATTGTCGAAAGGAATTCCATCCTAGCTTCGACCTCTCCCACACTCATGGTTTCACGCATTTTCTCAGTTATGCGGTTGTACTTCGCCACTAGTACCCCCGCATACTGTCCTCTTGTTTGGCGTTGGGACCGACACTCCCTAAACATTTGGAAGATATCTTCTTCCGGCGTCCATCGGCCCCCTCCGAAAGCCTTCTTCAAACGCTCCTTAATCACTGGCCATGGTGTCTCCTCGTCCGCTTGGATTTGGTTGAGGATGTTCCTCCTCACTCGGCACACGAGAGCTGCCTTCAGTGCTTCTGCGTCTCCCAGGTTCACGAGGTCCTCCGCCACCTTTGCTTCGATTCTTGATATGAGGCGGTCTCCACCTTTCAGGAAGTGATTAAGTTCACCTATCTCGCCCCCGAATCGCTCCAGGTCTGCGATTGCTCTCCGTAGATCCTGCGTGGTCGCTGCCCTTATCTTCATCCACTCCAATGCATTGGCGTGCGCCTCTGCCAATGTGTCCCTAGGTAAGGGAGGGATCTCTTGTATCTGCGGTACTTGAGGTATCTGAGGTATCTGCGGAATCTGCGGAACCTGAGGGGCGATCTGAGGAATCTGCGCTATCGGCATTTCCTGAGGTTGCGGCATTTCAGGTGCGTTCAACACTCCTGGTCGAATTATGCCCTCTGTCGGCATCTCGTCTTTTCCTTATGACTAGGAGAAGAGAAAAAAAAATTAAAATAAAGAAAGAAAAAAAAATTTTACTTCCGTGTTCTCCTGACGTTCTCCCGGGTTTCGGCACCAGTTAAGCGTCTCCGGGCTTTGTAAATAAAAAAAAAGAAGGAAAGAGGAACGAGAAACAATACTCACGGCTTCTGAATAAACACTGCTTTATTCGTTCAATAATCTGCCTTATATACAATTGCTATGTTTATTTACATTACAAGATGGTATTAAGGCTGATATCGCCAGTCTCCGGTCTTTATCTTATATATATATATATATATATATATATATATATATATATATATAGTGTTATCTTTTGTATGCGACTATAGACCTACTTAGCTGAATGTTGAAAAATTACCTAAAATATACCTATTTATGACTCACTATGTAAGCCGATACGGGAAAAAAATAACACAAAAAGAAATTCTAGGCTTTTGGCGTGGTCTCTTGCCAGTATTTCGAGCTTACGATAGAGGAGGAGTATACATTGAAGGTTATAATGAGTATGTATGAGATCAAAATAAAATGTTTTACAGCATCAGACTCATTATTTAATAGTCAAATCTTCTGTTTTTGTCCTTCACCACTTTAGGATGTAACGATCCATATACAAATTATTGAAACCTATTGTTTCAGGTGGGTTGCAGAATATGGAATTTCGGGGTGGTAAGCGTCTTAGTGTTGACGGTATGCAACATCTTACTGATGCTGAAGCTTCTCCACATCGAGAGATCGGAAGGCGGCCAAGCGGGGCCTAGGCCTGTACCTCCCCTCCCTCCAGTCATCATGGACCCATTCTTCCCTCACAACAACACTCCTGTCTTTGACATGAACATCCACCTCGGCCATTGGGACAACCGCAGAATTTTAAAAATGATCGATCACGCCATTGTCGGCACCTTGTTCGATGAGCTTTCAAAACGTTATTCTGTTTGCCTTGCCACTCAAAGCTCTTTGGAGAAGCTACACTCGCTAGTCCAAGTAGCAAACCATTGGAGAGGTCCAATATCTGCGGCTCTGTTTGCAGCAGGCGATGAAGAATTTGGTCTTCTTCAAGGTATTATTTTGTATGTTTTGTTTCTTAATGTTTGCCAAACAGAATCCACCTTTTAAAAGTAGTATGCCCTACTTTTGATTTATATTCGTATGCGAAGAAACATAATATTGATATCAATTCATAAAATAACCTATTGTAAGATGGTGTAACTTTGGGACAGCGAGTAAAATTTAGTTTATGGTGATTCCGTGGTGGTTACACTGTGTTGTCAGTCTGCAAAAGCATGCTTTGTATAGGCATGTACTGCACTACTTCCTTGCGGCAAACTACTCTTGAGGCACAAGCGAAAGTTTCATGAAAAAACAACGGAAACAAATAAAACCAAACTTCACAACGAGCGTAGTGAACTGGCGTTCTCAAACCCCCGCAAGGTAGTAGCGCAGTACATGCTTACACAAAGCATGCTTTTTCAGACTGATAACACAGTCTAACCACCACGGAATCACCACAAACTAAATTTTACCAGCTATCCCGAAGTTAACCACCCAGTCCCAAAGTTGCCCCATCTTACAGTACTTAAAAAAACAAACAAACAAATAGTTTACTTTGAAATTTTAAATTATTTTCAACTAAATGTAAATCTTTTGAAAATTGGCAATAAATTTGTTTAAAATTGTATAATGTGGTGCACAACCCAATATTTCATTGATGAGATTAACACTCGGAAACTCCAGGTAATAATCAGTTGTGAATTTTAAATACCTCGTAAGCCTTCAATGAATGTTTACCAATTTATGCGACGTTATCATTCATTCTATGATAATATCGTTCATGAAGAGACCTTAATTCATTCTTTCACAAAAACTTCCAATAATTTTCCAATGCTTGATATAATTATTTTGTATGCCCTCGAGCATATTTTCAAGCCATTTCTTCTTTGACCTAGCACCCTTCTAAATATATTTCCTTCATAGAAATTTTGATGAGACATTAGTTCACTTTGTCTCACAGAAATTTTAAGTCCTTTTTCAGTCTAGTAACTTAAGTTCTTCTCCATATATAACTATTACTATATATTATAGGAATTGATTCGTATTTATAAGTGATGGACTAAATATTCCTAATTTTAATATTTACGTTGTCATGAAAATAATTGAAACAATAAGCAGATTTCTTTATTTTTAACAGGAACATTTAATTACAGAACGAAACTTATAAATGCAGACCAATTCCTGTAATAGTGTTTTGGGTAAAATCCACAGTTTCACTACTATCATTTTACATAACAAATATTTGAAAAAACATTGTTTTAAAAATAAAATATGCATTTATTTAGTTATTTTTATTATAATACATCCTAGTTCATGAAAACAATTAATAAAACTTTTTAATAGTTTATTAGTATTTTTGCTGAAAGAAGGGTGTCAATATATCAAATCACATAATGTTTTTTCACAATATGAGATGAATTTCAACGTAATCAACTTCAATTTAATTAAAATGAACTTGAAGGTTATTAAACAAAGAAGCTTTTCTTAAAGTAGGGTATCTGTAGTATAGTTTAAGGTTTATGATTAAGAATTTTTTTAAAAACAGATCTTAGCTTAGTGTAGCCGCTGTTGAATCGTTTTAACAGTGGTAAACGCTAATTTCCTGTAAAGATAATTTTGTCTAATTCACTGTGGAGCCATTTTAATTACTTAAATTAAACAATTTTTTTTAGTTATTGTTTCCTATTAATATATATATATATATATATATATATATATATATATATATATATATATATATATATATATATATATATATATAATAATAATAATAATAATAATAATAAGGCTTAGCGAACCCGAAGGTTCGATGCCGACACCACCAATCGCTTGTTACACACCTCCCTCCACCGTTCGCCGTCCAAACCCAGTCCCTTCAGATCAGCTTTAATGCAATCTTCCCACCTTCGCTTCGGTCTACCCCTCGGACGCTTACCATTCGGCACAGCAAATATTAACCTTTTAGGAATTCTCTCGTTACTAAGCCCAACAACTTTACAAGCCCATTTGATTCGCCGCGATGAAATTACCTCAATTATATTACCCGGATATAGCTCACGCAATTCGGCGTTGTGTAACCGTCTGAACTCTCCGGTTAACTCATCCTTCTTCGGTCCGAATATTCTACGCAATACTTTATTTTCAAAAACCTTAAGACGCTGCTCATCCCTTAATGTAAGCGGCCAAGTTTCGCATCCATAAAGAACTGTAGGCAAGATAATTGTTTTATAGATTCTAATTTTTAAGTTTCGGGACAAGAGGCGCGAACTGAGTAGTTTTGTCACAGAAAAATAACAAGCATTCCCCGCCTTCAGTCTAACTTTAATCTCTTCTTCAATTTCGTTTTTTCTAGTTATCGTAGAACCTAGATACCTAAATTTATCTACCTGTTCAAACATATTACCATCTATATCGATATCACCAGTAGTATCGCCATTTTTGCAGCTAACCATATATTTTGTTTTATCCACATTTATTTCGAGTCCTAGTTCTTTACCGGCTTTCATTAACGTTGTCGTATTTAGTTTTATAGTTTCAACATCTTCGCTTAACAGTACTAGATCATCAGCATAGCCCAGCACGGATGTTGTCCCGCCCAGATCCAACCCTTTCTCGGTACGCATTACCTCCCTAATGGCATGTTCTAATGCCAAATTGAACAGGACAGGCGAAAGAGAATCCCCCTGTTTTAAGCCCGAACGAACCTCAAATTTTTCGGACAAATTATTACCGATTCTAACTTTATTGAGTGTCTCCGTCAAGCACATCCTGACTAGATTTACTAGTTTTTTTGGAATTCCCTGCTCGATTAGAATATTATACAGTTTCTGGCGGTCAATAGAATCGTAAGCCTTTTTAAAATCTATATACAGCTGGTGAACAATACCGTTATACTCCAATTTTTTCTCTAATATTTGCCGTAAAGAAAATATTTGATCAATAGTCGAACGATTCCGTCTAAATCCGCATTGGTAGTCTCCGATAATTTCCTCGGCGTATTCCGTGATTCGACTGGTTAAGATTACAGTGAATATTTTATAACATACCGGAAGGAGTGAAATTCCTCGATAGTTATTACAATCCGTCCTCGGACCCTTTTTGTGAATTGGAATAAGAATAGATTCTTTCCATTCTTCAGGTAATTTCTCGTTCACCCAGATCTTTTTAACCAACCGATGTATTTTAGAAACTCCAGCTTCCCCGCATGCCTTAATTAGTTCAGTAGGAATATTATCGATTCCCGCTGCTTTATATGATTTTAATTTACCGATAGCTACTTCAACTTCCTCTTTACTTGGTCCTTCTATCAACGGTTCAGCACTCTGGTACTCAGAAGGAGGACACAGATCATAATTTCCCGTATTTAAAATATTGTCAAAGTGGTCCTTAAACTTATTCAATATGTCAACCGGATCGGTCAGAATATTGTTATTATCATCCCTAATTCCAGACGTTACGGGCCCTACATATTTACGTGATCTGTTTATACCTTTGTACATGTCTCTTACGTTATTTTCGATTCTATTAGTTTCTATTTCAATTATTTTATTTTTAAGATACTCCCTTTTTTTATTTTTGAGCAATTTTGTCGTTTCGTTCTTTGAGATTCGGAAGTATTCCAGATTGTCTTCGCTAGGATTATTTAGAGCTTTTAATTTAGCGGCTTTCCTTTTTTCGCACATGTCTAAGCAATCTTCATCAAACCACGGTTTGTTATTCTTATTTTCCTTTTTTCCTAGACACGAGTTACCGACCGCTTTAATATTATCCCTGATCTCTACCCATAACTTGTCAATATCCTCGTGGTCCTCGTCAGGAAGCTCTAAAGCTTCAAACCTATTCTTAACATCTAGCTCGAATTGGTTTCTAATTGATGGATTTTTTAATTTTTCCAAATTAAAATTCTCAAAATCGAAACGGTTTTCTTTTCTCTTTTTTATATTAAGTTTTTGTCGAAGTTTCGCGATTACTAATTCATGATCCGACCCACATTCTGCTCCGCGATAAGACCGTACATTGATTATACTGCTTTGCCAGCTGTGTTGTATCAAGACATGATCGATTTGATTTCGTGTTTGCGAATCCGGCGATGTCCAAGTATATTTATGAATATCCTTACGTTTAAACGTCGTACTTTTAATTACCAGGTTTTTCGAGATGGCAAAGTTTATCAGACGGATCCCATTATCATTACTATATTCGTGCAAACTTTCTTTACCAATCGTCTGAATATAAACTTCTTCCCTTCCTACCTTTGCGTTCGCGTCACCTACAATTATTTTCATGTAGTTTCGCGGTAGTTTATCATAAACCCATTCGAGTTTATCGTAAAATTCACTTTTGACTTCATCGTCACTGTCTTCGGTCGGACAATGTATGTTTATTAATGCGATTTTAAACCAACGTCCCTGAAATGTAGCTACCGAAATTCTATCACTAAAGAATTGTACGTCCCTCAAAGCGGATAGTAATCTACTCCTAATTAGAAACCCGGTACCTAAACAATGATTCCCGCTTCCTCCGTACCAAATAGTGTACTTTCCTTCCCTCATCGAGCCCTCCCCTGGCCAGCGAACCTCTTGCAGAGCCACGACATCCAAATTGTACCCATTTACCTCATTCGCGACCGATTTTAGCCCCCCTGCTGTGTTTAAACTCCTTACGTTCCACGTACCAATATTTAAATCCCTATATTTCAACTTGCGGCATGAATCCCCTAAAGCAGTCCCCACCCGGAGACCCGAACGGGGGACTAGTTTACCTCCGGATAATGAGCGTTTTACCTTAGGGAGATCCATGACTTTTTGTGGTGTTTGGTGAACTAAAGATATGTGAGTAGGGCGTTCAATCCTACGTCACACCCTCCAGCAAGTCTGGTGGGCCCCTACCTCCAGCAAGTCTGGAGGTCCCCTCCCTCCAGTAAGTCTGGAGGGCCCCTCTCATTGTTGGTCAGCGAGTCCATCGGACTTAGCCGGGAGGAATTTCCACCGACCATCCCCACATCCGCCACCCGTGGGACGCTCCCCATACGCGGTAATGAGCCCGCGCGAGGTATATATATATATATATATATATATATATATATATATATATATATATATATATATATATATATAATATATATATATATATATATATATATATATATATATATATATATAACTCACCTAAGATAACACTAAACTTAATATTCCTACTTTTCCGCGGAGAACCAGACCATGGTTTATATTTTTTTATCTTTTGAAGTGTGCTATCATCCTTTTAAATATTTCTATTAACTTATGCTCGGCAAATCATGGCCCGAGAACCAGCATTTCCTCCCTACTCGTATCACTAGTATTTTGGAAATCAATTTTAGTCATTACCAAAACTTAGAACGAACCGTTTTCACGGTAGGCAGTATCACCCAAACAGTAGGCAGAAATTATAAAAATCAAATTAAATACAATATTTTCTGATAGATCATCAACAGACTATCAAACCGCTTATAATCCTTCTCACAAGAATCCTTTCCGAAATACCATTTAACTTCCCTCGATGAATACAAAGTCCCTAGTTATCCTCTTTTGGAAAAATAATGGGCTAGGCATATTTCTCCAAGATAATTTACGTTATATTTACATTGCCCTCCTGCATTTACATTACATGGGGAGTGGGATGGCTTAGTGGTAGGGCACTGAGTTTCCAATGCAAAGGTTCAGGATTCGAACCCTAACCACCCTGGCAGAAAATATATTTATCTGTTTCATTGGCCGTGGGGCGGCCCTGGGTCGGGAATCCCTCCTGGGGCAAACCCAGTCTCTATAAAGTGGTACCCTTAATTAAATAATTAATTAAGGGTGAAAACCTAGCGGTTGAGCGTGATCTCGGTCAAATCACCTTCTTGCACAACCACTGACCTAGAAACAGTGCTTTCCCTAAATAGTACTGAACCCCAGACCCTTCATGCGTTGTAGTGGTACAGGTTTTTTTTTTTTTTTTTTTTTTGCTCTCCTGACAGAAACTCACTTCTCTCAACGGACACATTTCTACATACGTGTCTACATCACCTATAGATCTGGCCACCCAGACAACACTTCCCACGCCGGTTCTTGCATCCTTATACATAAATCTTTATCCCATTACCTTATTCCTTCTATTCCAACTCATGCGATTCAATCAACTTCTTCAATCTAACACTTTCAGCTGTATATTGTCCTCCTGGTAAAATTCCTTATGTTTCTGATTTGGTCCAATCAAAATATCTATCCCTCCATAATAAACTTCATAACCATCCCAACCTTCTTCTTTCCAACCTTGCTCCCTCTTCAATCCTTGATAACCCTCCGAGGCTTCTGAAAAGATGATGGCCTCGGGATCTCCTAATGTAGACATATTATTAAAGTGCTACCAAAATGGGTAGTTTCTCAATATGTTTTTCATTGTGAATATTATAATAAAAATTAAAAAATACAATATATTAATATAACTGTAATTTATTGACGTCTATCATCCTTCATAATTTATCTTTTTGTTTGAGGTTATGTTGATTACCTGCGCCATTGCTACCCCGCAGTCCGTGACAGGGTTAGCTTCCATTTGGCATTCCCTTGGGACAGACTTCCTTCGAAGAATCAACCGATAAAAAGAGACGGTAACCTCGACTGCCATCATCCAGAAGGGTCTCTTCATCAACTGCTCAAGCATCGTTCCTCGGAATTACTTAGATGGCGTCAAAAGAATCCATATCCTCAAAATCATCTGAGAAATTTGGCAAGGAAAAATTGTCAAACCTCTCGGGTATTCCTGACTGATGTAGATATTATACCCAGTTTGGGAATGGCAGACGGCCTAGAAGTTTTTATCAAGTCAGACAGCTGCACGTCCCTATGCGCATATGTGATACCAACTTACGAAGTTGATGAGAGGGTACCTTTTCCTAGAAATAAATCTGAACTCATCAGGCTTAAAGGAAGAGGGCTTGCGAGACCTTTCCACCATAAAGTGTTCATATATAATCAATTCGCCACAAATTTTTCAAGGTTTGTTGAACTCTATAATTTAATATGTTATTCCTAAAACAATACAATTAAAAATACCGCTTAATACTTATTAAAACGAATGTTAGGGAAGCTATATACAATATTCTGTATTCAGAATCCCAATAAATATAACATTTTATATTAGATATTAGATAGCTCAATATGTGTAGTGGTATTTGTTTAAGGGGGTGATCAGATGTAATCGGGATTCTCGAGCCAAAAAAAATAATTCACCTCATAGAACTTAATTTCATTGAAATTGGTGACCCTACATACCTAACCTCGCCTTGTTATTAGAGATGTCAATGTGGCCCATATACCGAGAAGTTAGAAACCTGTGTCTTAACATAATACACTGGATGATATTAATGACACTAATTTTAGGAAATGTATACATTCTTTTAGTAATTAGCCAAGCTCTGGTTTCTAAACAAATTGAATAATTAAATTTAAGATTATGTAATAAATTTAATTTAGAATCAGCTGATCAACCAGCTGACGTGAACGGTTATTTTTCTACCTCGGCTTCCAGGATTTATTTGTTTTCCCGAGACATATCTATGACGTTTCAGTCAGTACAGGCCAAGGATACACCAAAAAAGTTATATTTACAGTGTGTATAGTTAAAACAATTTATTTCTTTTATTTTTTTTCATTTGTCCTCTCTTATGACATGCGGTAGTATCGTCCAGTGATGTGCAGTAAGGCTCCTACTAATAGGTCTCGGGCAGACGGTTCTACTCTTCGTAGTTCAGTAGCAAAGCAAAGAATTCGTCGCAACCTACGGGAACCTCTTCCAGTAACCACACCTGTAGAATCTTTAGAATCTGAATTTAAGCCACTTACATCTACACACAAAAAAATGGCCCTTACTTTATTCCAACGCCGCATCAATTGCTTCAAAATGACAGAGAGGTAATGGAGCTGCAACAATACCCAGAGAACCAAGGCCTCCTCTGATATCTGTGAAAAATATAAAGAATTTTTAGTCGTACTGACCATCCAGACGATGGAGCACATGCTGGCACTGTGCTCTGTTGTGATAGTGCAACAATCTCTCTCCCATTATCTACTAAAGATTTCCTACTATCCACCATCATTGTAATCAAAACCTTCACCTTTCCCGTCACCCTAGCATCAGCATATTGCCCTCCCAACAGATCCATATCTAATGTCCAGTTCAGTTCTCTCTTGAACTCCTTAGAACATCACTACATCCTCCGTGCAGACATAACCGTCAAGCATCAAGAATGGGTTTCAAGAACCACGAATTCTCGTGGGAGATCATTGCTGTCTGCACACAATTCCCAAAGTTTTTCCCTCGATTTTTTTTTATTTACAGTGGTTTAGATTTCCTCAATCTACTTGATGAACTTTCCTCAGATTCCATTACTACTCCAATTATCTCTTGCTCCTATTGCTAAACCCTCTCCACTATCCTTCATAAAAGGCCCAATTAACTGTAAATTCTTTCATCAAATCCTTTCCGATAAAATTGATCTCAGAATAACATTGAAAAACCTATAAGACCTTGAAGATGACGCATATTCCTCATCACCACCATTCAACAAGCAGTCTGGACAGCTCCCTCTCCAAATCATTTCAAGAGTGTTCTTGATTAAATCTATAAATTGATTAAGGGTTTAAGAAAATAATTTACCTCAACACCTCATAGACTTAATCTAATCCAAACGCCATTTCTGACTATTATGGCAACGTACCAAACATCCCATCTATCGCCGCTCCTATAATTATTATTGTAAACTATTAAAGCAAGAATTATCATCTTTCAGATCCCAATCCTTTAATTCCAACTTTTCACCGATTTCTGTTCATGGCAATTCCCTCTGGAATATCACAAAAAAAAATCCTATAATATTTCCCACCCCTCCGTCGATACGATGCCTCCTAGACAGCGTTTGATGCAGACAAAGCTGAGGGATTCGTTACATACCTCTCTAGTACATTCACTCCTCATCCAGAATCCCATCCCACCCTCACTGCAAAAGTAGAAGAATTCCGCTCTTTGCCTATTTCACTCTCGTTACCACCTAAAGCAAAAAATCCTTCTGAGGTCAAATACCTTTTACCTAAAATTATGCCTTGTAAATCTTCGGGATACGACCTTCTAACCCCAAAGATTCTTCGACATTATCCAACCATAGCTATCACATTCCTTACATATATTTATAATCGCATCTTAAGAACTACCCACTTCCCACTTCTATGGAAACATTCCGACATAAACGTTTTCCTGAAACCAGGTAAACCTGCTAACAATAACTAGTTCTGCTATAAATACTGTTACAAAAGTTGAACTTTGTTTACATCCTTGGGTATTAGTTAGACAATCCTTACCTATATCAGTTTATTTTCTTTACCTGTCTCGATAATACTTCCAATTAGTTTGTATTTTTCTTTCTCTTAGTTAACATGGAGTGGGGTGATAAAGAAAAACGAATAGCTGTGATCACCTTACTCAAAGTTGGAAAATGTAGGTCAGAGATTTTAAACACTTTAAAACCTTTGGATATCAGCCGTATGTTGTGCACCGCATGAATTGATATAATGAGATCCTCTCTGTACGTGACAGACCTCGGCAGGGCCGTCCCCGCACTCTGCAAATGCAGTGAGAGCAGTGGCTGCTCGAATCAAATGAAATCCCATACAAAAACAATAAGTCATCTCGAGAAATGGGAATCTCTTTCAGATCAATTTCTCGCATAATAAAATGTGACCTTAGGATGGGTGTATTTCGAAGAATAACAGGACAAAGGCTAACCACTTCCTTAAAAAAAAATGTAGAGTGGATAGATTAAAAGTGCTCCCTGGTCGTTATACCAATGGTTTTCATCGAATTTCGTTTAGCGATGAGAAACTTTTTACAACAAAAGAAAAATGTAATCACCAAAATTATCGTGTGTTCGCATACAGCTCTAAAGAAGTCCTGGAAGTCATTTGGAAGTGTGGAAAGAGGTCATTACCCTTCCTCAGTGATGATTTGGTGGGGAGTTTGCTTTGATAGCACCACAGAGCTCCATTTTTGTGAAAAATGAGTTAAAACAGCCGCTAACAACTATCAGGACGATATTTTGGAACCTGTTGCTAAGATTCTAAGTGATATTCTGTTTGTTGTAATTGGGTTTTCCAGCAGGATTCCGCTCCAGCTCACAAAGCCAGGTCAACTCAGCAGCGGCTGCAAATGAACCTTCCGGAGTTCATCTCTGCCTCGGATCGGCCCTCAGGAAGCAGTGAACTCAACCCTCTAGATTATCGGCTTTGGTCCGAACTGGACAGAATGGCATGCTACAGAGCACACCCTAATTTAGAAATCCTCAAACAATATCTGGTCCGAGCAGTTGAGCGTTTTTTTCAAGAAGTGCTGCGTGCTGCTATTGATGACTGGCAACGCAGATTAAATGCCTTTGTCAAGTCTAAAGCGGGGCATTATGTAATTTCTTTTTTATTTTACGCTCTATAGATATGCATTTTATTTTCGGATAACGTTTTTTTTTTTTTTTTTTTTTTTTTTTTTTTTTTTTTTTTTTTTTTTTTTTTTTTTTTTTTTTTTTTTTTTTTTTTTTTGGTACATCATCCTATAAATCAATTAGCCTACTCCCAATCCTATTAAATATTTTTGAAAAAATCCTACTGAAATGAATCCTACCCATAATAGAATCCCAAACAATTCCTACCAATCAATTCTGATTTCATTCCCAACATTCCACTGTAAAACAAGGACTCCGAGCTGTTGACCGTATATCCTCATCCCTAGAAAAGAAGCAATATTATTAGGGTGCATTTATGGATATAGATCAGTCTTTTAACCGGGTATGGCACGCTGGATTGCTTTCCCAGCTTAAATTCCCTCTACCACAGTCCTTATATCTAATACTCCGATCCTACCTCGAATCAGATTACCGCATGATAAGGTCTTCTGTCACATCCTTTACATTCTTTTTACGGCAGATATCCTTGAGTATCTCGATACCCTCCTGGCAACATTCTCTGATGTGACCGCTGTCATTTCACCCAATTCACCTAAAACAGCGTCTTTAAACCTACAAATGCACCTCTCTCAGATTGAAAACTAGTGTAAGCAAAGCCGCATTAAGATAAACGAATCTAAATGTAATCACATTACCTTCATCCTTCATTGGAAATCTTTATCCGAAAATACTATTCGGTATATTTACTTTCTCTTTGTCAGGTGATTAGCTTGGAACTCTTATACTAGACTTAAAAGACAGGAACTTAACCGACGATTCGGCCAACTATACAGATTGCTAAACAGGAAATCTAAACTTTCTATTGAAAAAAAAATTACTGAACTACAAGACAATACTGAAACCTATTGGACTAGAACAGTGGGGGACATCAAACGCATCCAATCCTTCCATTCCAAAGTCCTTCGAAGAATAGTCGATGCTCCTTTCTATGTAACCAACAAAATCCTACATCATGGCCTTAACATCCCGTTTGACCTAGACCTTATCCATGAAAAATTCTCCAAATCTAACCAGAACCTTACTTATCATCCAAATCCTCTTACACAACCCCTATCAAGCTATCCCTATAATCCTCCAAGAAGGTTAAAACGGCAATGGTCATGTGACCTTTTGTAGATTGTACATATTGGAGTCCTGGCAATGGTCAGATTCTCCTCTCAAGACATGAGTGTATGTGGCTAAAGCGCTCTCGATTAATCTCCGCTGGCTTTAGTACCAATGATGCGGTTGAGAGAGTAGCGCAGGGATCTTTTGGAGTCCTTTTTTTCCCTCTATAGTTTGAGGGACAAGGCTACCTCAGAGTTCCCTCGCCTGATTGTAAATAGTGTATATAAATATGAATATGTTTTTTGCTTTCTTTAATTTTCTTATTTTTAAGTTATTTTATTTTATTTATTGTATATACTTTTTTATTATTATTTATTTTTTATTTTTCTTCTGTTTGTTTTATTTATTTTTTGTAAATATAGTGTGAATATGATCTTAACTCAGTGCACTCAAGTGATAGAATGCTGTAATATTTAATAAATAAATTTAAAAAATACATAATTTAGTAGAAATCTTTTAATTAATTAATCTTTTAATATTCTTATTTGCTATGCATATATATTTTTTTAGGTGGGAACAAGAGCAGTCCAGAAATCAAGTCCATATAAGTCATGGAGTAACCAACTTCGAATTTTTATACGAACCTTTTTACATTGCTCACGATAACGTGCCACCTCATGACGAAAGGTTCATTGGATATGGATTTACACGTAATACTCAAGTGAGTTGAATAATATAATTGTGGTATCAGGTTGGTTGATTGGCTCTTTTTTATTACCTGGACAGTCAGATTCAATTCACGGTGTCCGGTAACCGGGATTTACCAAAAAAGTTGGAATTTTACATGAATTTCTGATGCATGGGAAAACTACAGGCAATGTTATTTTTTTTTTCTTTATTAGTTGTACATATTTGTGGCTCACAATAAATTTTCCATCTACCTCGGTATTCAGCAAATATGATATCAAGGAGAAGAATAACAAAACAAAAAGTAAAAAAAAAAAGAAAAAGAAAAAAAAACGAAAAAAAACGTAGTAAAATAACACATACATTACAACATAATAACAAATACACACACAAAAAAGATAATACAGCAAGTAGCTCAATGCAATAAGTCTCTTGGCCAGCGCCTCAGCAATCTTCTAGGCGGATTATATGGATTTGTGGCAGTAGATAGAAAGAGCTTCTATGTCAATTCAAATTTGAAACAACTCAGGCAATGGGAAATGTACTGAAGTTTTTTTGTGTTCCTTTTGTGATAAATAAGATTTTTCTTATTTCCTTTGTGATTTTTATTATATCCTTTTATGATAAATAAGATTATATATAATAGAATTATATATAATATTTTTGGTTAACAGTTGCCAAAAATTAATGTTTAGCAACTGGTAATATGTTTCTAATGATGGAAGTTTTTTGTTTATTGGCATGGGTAATATAACTTCCTTTCATTCCTTTCATTCGTTCCTTCTTTGTCACTTTTTATTTTTTCTTGAATTGGTGCTTGACGTTAACGGCTTGATGTATAGAGAAATAAACTTCAATAAAAAGTCGTTGTCTTTCTGTATATACTTACAATTTTGGTACTTCATCAGGATAAATAAGATATAAAAATTAACAAAAATAAAAAGCAAAATTTACAAATCAATCTATAAAATGAATGAAAAATTGTTAGCGCTACAAATTTAATGATTGCAGAATCCTCAAATTGAATATTATTGACACTCAAGCAAAATAGTTGTTTTTCCATTGTTTTTTTTTTGTTTGTTTTTTATAGACCTCTGCATTTTTAAGATAATCCATTTTTTTGCTTTAGATACAGCGAGTATGATTTTTACGGTAATATTTTTGTATGTGTAGGAAGAAATTTCTAAATGAACCTTGAAATGATATGCACAGCCTGACCCATGGAAATGTTCTTTAATTCCTTTTATTTTTTTTAGTTTCCTTCCGATCTGCCCGATATAAAAGGCATACCAAGTAAAAGCCATTCTTATTTTCTTTATAATTTACGAGTCTTTTTTTTATTATTTATAAATATAACAATCTGTCACCTAGTCAATAATTATAGTGATATATGAACACATTCATACCAATTAGGAAGTGTGTGTCAAGTGATGGCACAACTGAACATTGATCGTACATTGATTTACAAGTCTAAATATATATATATTTGCTATCATATTCAATCCTGTAAATACGAATATATGTATTACAGTATTGCAGTAGTAATAACTATATTGTTATATTCACATTAAAGTATGTAATAGACTTAATTAAATATTAATGGCATATTTACAGTTCTGAATATATATATATACAACTTTACAATTTCATTAAAATAAAAATGATCATTTTGCTTTATTCCAACAGGTATACGAAATGTTCGTGGCTGGTTACCAATTTTTTGTATTGTCTCCTGTTTTTACTGTACATTGGGGCCTACAGCAAAGAAAAGGACGACCTTCGTGGAGAGAAAGACAAAATGCCAACAACCGTAAAATTTTTGAACAGTTCAAAAGAGAAGTATTTGCAAGATACCATAAAGACCCGTTAAACATGGTACTTCATCATACGAAAGATGGCCAGACGGCAAAATCATAAATATATCTATACAAATAATTGAATATGTTATTTATAATGTTATTTTTAATATCATTGATGTTTTAAATATCACGTTATTATTATGTGCTGTGTTTGACCTAAGTATATTTAAGAAAAATAAAACGTTTTTACTGGTCGTTTTTAATATATTTAAATTTTCATTTAATATTGCATTATTTATTTTTCTGTCCCTTGCACGTTGTTTTTTCTTATATACAACAATTATTTTGTTCAGCGTGTATTTCATGCAAGTGAATACACAGATATAAATTTAAGTGAAAAGAAAAAAAAATCATTTTTTTTTTTTTTACACATCTCAAGATGAATCTCAACTTATTCCGTAACCATCCTCAACTAAATTAACAGTCTAACCTCGACTTGAAACTTATTAAACGAGAGTTTTTCTGAAAGTGGAGTAACTGTAGTGGAGTTGTTGGATGATAAAAAAAAAAAAAAATTGCGAATAATCAATGGCGGAACAGAAAAGAAGAAAAGTAGCGTAGATTAACCACTTAAAAGTCCCTTTTAATTGGTTTAAAAAAAAGATAAACTTTACTTTACTAATTTAATTAAATTTAAAGTAAATTTTGTCTAGTTTGCTATGAAACTAATTTAATCTGTTATTTTATTTATCTTCTATATTACTTTATCTTTTTTTTTCTTCTACTTTGGTTTTTTATACATATTTTCCTTTCTTATGTACATATTGTGTGAATGAATACTATAGCCCTAGTACCAATGCCCTTCAGTGTGGCAGACTGTATTAATACTCATTAAAATCATTAAAGATAAATTTTGACCAAGATCCATCTATTCTTCTCGTAATCTCTTTTAGTAATACGTTATTATACTGATTTCGGTCCTTATGTTATCTGGACGTGACGCTTTGACCTATGAACCGATAAGTTCTACAGCTGACGGACAATTCCAAATCAGTCTGTGTTCAAACTATCCTTTGTATGGTTGTGCATTTGAGGTATGTGGATTTTAAATTATTTATCCTAAAAATTCAAGTATAGCGTTGTTATTCTTGTTCGAGAAGGTCAAACTTTATTTTAACAACATGTACTTGCTTTGACGACCGTTAATCAATGAAACGTGTTTCATCCATTTTAAATATCACCTATCTATTATAATCCGGCATGGCAATTTTCATAATAAACAATAGTATTATATAGTATGAATTGATTGATCACTCATCATTGGCTTTTTATCGCATATTTAATTTATTTAAAACTACATTATAAATATATTATTTGAAACTTTTATTTTTTTTATGAACGTCAGGTTCTTTATTTTGTGCTTCAAAAGTTAATTATGTACTTAAGTGATTTAAAACGAAATCGAATTCTGAATCTGTACCATAATTATTAAATTTAAATTAACTTTAAAGACATTTCCTCGGCCATAAACGAAGATTATACCTTAACATAAAAAAAAAAAAAAAAAGAAATAGAAGAAATTTAAATTGTATTTTGTGGGGAGTTTTTTTTAATTTAAATTTAAAATAAATTGGAGAACGTTTTACCCCTGATGCGGAAGTTTGCATTTCCGAACTTTGTGAATATTATCATATTTGGTTAATCAATAATTAATTAAATTGTACAGGAAATAAATTAATCAGTTTGAAAATAAATAGTGATGATTTTAACTTAAGGGTTTAGATGTTATGTGGTAGGTACCTAAATTATCCAAGGGAAGGCACTGGAACAGAAGAGTTTATTTCGACTGTGAAATATTATTTCATAATATAATATTTCCATGATCTTTGTTCATTTAGTATTGTCACATTTTAATCATTCTAATCAGTTTAGATTATAAATTCGATGAAACCCACACGAACCAAATGAGAAAATTATAGATTATTAGCTGTTGGTATTAAGTAACTTGTATTTTTTAAGAAAAGTAAAAAAAATTACTTAAATGGAATAATTTTAAATTAATTTAATGTTTTATATCAAATGTTTTAGGAAAAAAGTTAAATTTTAAGAGTTTCCGTGAAACGTTTTAAGAAAAAAAGTTTTTAAAATAAACGCTCTAAGATATCTTTTTGTAATAATGTTGCAGATTTATGGAAAATATTTAACTTGTATTCATTTTTTTTTGTTTATTTATTTATTGAGTATTACAACAATCTGTTTCTTGGACATTGGTTATAGTGAGGTAGGATAACATTCACACTATATGTACAAAAAATTTAAAATAAATGGAAGCAAAATAATAATCAAAAGTGTATACAATGAATAATAATATAAAATAACTTAAAAATACGAAAATTAAAACTAAGCAAAAAAAAACACATGCCTACCTATATACACTATGTACTTATTAAAGTTCTTGAATGAAGTTCAGCTTGCTGAAAAATAAATAGCAATTGGGCTTAGATTTAAGTTATAATTTGTCTTGAATGAATTACACATGATTATAGTTTGTCGTTTGTTTGAGAAACTATGGATAAGTCATTTTTAGCGAAATTGAAAGAATTTTAAGTTTTTTGTTTTTTTTTTAAATAAAAGTTCCATAGAACCTTTACTAGTTGCTTGGGAAAAAATTATAGTTCCAAAATAAGAGAAAACAATCGACAATAAATATTCCGGTGATACCGAAAGTATTTGAACATGTATGTTTTTTTTTTCCTTTTCAAGCCCTGGTTTTAGTATTAACATATAACATATAACAACCAAATAAAGTTATCTTGCGATAACTAATTTTCCATTTCAATAATGCTTCCTACATTGCAAAATATAGGGTAATAATTAGTAAATTGTTTTTAAGAAACTGAGATGAACTTTGACTTGTGAGTAATCAATGTTGATAACGGCAAATATTTACTGCTTATTTTTTATTCCATTCAGTTAGTGCGATTTGATGGCGTAGTTTCAAGAATGTTAAATAAAGACATTAAAAATAACGAGTCGTTGCTTTTGGTTTGATAGTTACCTACTAATAGAAACCCAGAGTCGATTCGCACCTGCAAGAATATTTTCACCAAACAATATTTGAATATATTTAATAAATAATTCCATTTAAAATAACATGAATTTGCCAACGTTTTTGTGGACAACCTACTTTCTCCAGGTTGACGTATACTTGTCTCCTTGTTTGAACCTTCAGCAAAAAAAAAAA